CTCTAATATATATATATATATATATATATACATATGTATATATATATAGTATAATGTAAAATAATAAAAATCAATAATAAAAGGATACTTCAAGAGAGTTGAAATAATTGGTGATTAATATCTTCAATGACATTAATTATTTCCAGGTCCAGAAAAGTCATATTTAAATCAGAATTATGCTCTCTCGTCTAAAATGATATAAAAATGTTATTTTAAAAACGTAAGATAGATAGATATAAAAAGAAAAGGAGAGAAAAAAAAGGATCACCGAGGATCTCATGAGCGTATTTTTAGTGATGTATAATCGCGTATTTTCTTCCCTTAAGTGCTTTAAAAACTCAATTGTATATTGTATCGCGTATAAACATTGCTATAAAAGCGATTTATGATTAGAATCAATGAGAATGAATGCGATACGGAAAGAAACACTATATATCAATCAATTCGCTAATATTGGTACATAGAACTATTTTTAAAAATTATTTTTTATATACTTGTCTTTTATTTCGTTTTTTACAGATAAAATAGGAAATAAAATAAAATTTACTTAGTTTTATTGTTCAAAGAGTTAAAAGAGATTATAAAAAAGTATTAAAAAAATTTTTAATTTATATAACAAAGAATTATTTTTAGTTATCTGATATTAGCGAATATCTCAAGATAAACAGATCTACATGATCCAAGAAGATCCGCAACATAGTGATAAACTTCAGAACGATTACGATACGTGCGCGCGCGCGCGCGTGTATGTGCGTGTGTGTACGCACGAATAAGATTAAATATTCATAAAAATATTTTTCTGTGATAAATATATTCCGAAAAAACTTAGCTAGATGATACGATCTTGTCGATAACTCATTTTGCGGATCCAAAGAAACGTGTCAACACAAATGAAAAGAAAGGTAAAGAGCCGCATTTGACACAAAAATTTCTCTTTTTCTTAAATTTAATTCTCAACTTTGCGTTTACTCAACGTGAAATCAATTAATTCAGGATCAAATTTAATCTAATCTAATTCTTAAATTGGTTGTGTACAAAATCTAAAATTAACACGCAATCAAACTAGACCTGATCTGATTTTATATCTCATGATGAATGAATAGGAAATGCGTAATATCAAACATAAATGCGGCTCAAAAAGAGAATATATGAATGTATCGATAGATATATGATATTTGAAAGAGACAAAGAAAGATAAGGAGAAAATGAGAGATAGAGAGAGAGAGAGATGAACGAAAGAAAAAAAGAAGAGATGCATGTATAATATGTGCTACTTAATGTACACGTATAAAGAATATCGTATATGTGTGAAAGGATAATAATGGAGAATTCTTTTAATCTTCATAGACCTTCTAGTATAAAAGGATGATGACCAAGCTTGTAAACAAAGAATTAATCAATTGTATAATCCGATATGGACGTAATTACTGTTCTTAAAAGTGCTAATTTAAAGATAAACGTAAAAGACAAAACCGATTAAATGATAATTAAATAATAATAATATAATTAATGCTAATATAACAATACCGATTTTTTATAGTCATAAAAATAAATACAATAATAATAATAAGAATAATAATAATTATTCCACGACACGTCTGATAGCATTTAATGGCAGGCGATAACAAAAGACTCTTCTTAGATACATGGCAAGACGTATATCGCGCGTGAAAGATAATTATCGTCTAATATGCATTAAATATGGTACTGCAAGTGCGCATAGATAGAAAAAAACTTAAAAAATATTAAAATAATAGTGTTGATAGTATAATATCCAAATTTATGTCGATGCGATTCTACAATCTTTAAAGGTACTTATTGCGTGATCGACGAAGTAAAGCTTTGTTTCATTTGTTATTTAATTATATAGAAAAGAGAAAAACTGAGACATTCATTTGATACGATAAAAAAAGCATTTATATAAAAAATTTGATATTTTTGATAATTGTGTTATGTATCACGTACACCAATTTTCATATATTGCAGACTATATTTTAATAGACGTTTGATAAGTTTCAAGTAAAAAATTAATTAATTAGTTTATACTTTCTAATTATTGTAAAATATTTGGCTTAATTTGTTAATTATTGCTATGAACAAAGATAAATCCTATAGAAAGCTTTATAAAAGAATAAGTCGACAAAAGTAATAATTGACAATATAATTGGCAATATAATGCAGGATCTGTAGAAATCGCAGCAGTTACATGGTAAAAAATTAACCAATCATAGTCAAATATAAAAAGAATAATTGATTATGATTGGTCAATTTTCTACAACTTTTTTTAAAACCGTTACGACTTCTATTGTAGACCTCGTGTAATAATTAATAAAATATAAATTCAGATTACTTCTTTTAAATTTTGAAAACTGAAAATAATAATTGCTACTTTATATTCTTTTTAGTTCTAAGTCATAACTTTTTAGGCACTTCATGTAAATTCTGTAGATAGAATATTGCACTTAAATGATCTCACGGCATATTATTCGATTGAATCGCGATCACGCGAGCCTTTAACGACTTCGACGTACCACTCGGGCTCTCAGTGATATTAAAACCAAATAATACTAACGAAAATAGATAGGAATCACGTTACGATAACGTAGAAAGTTCTCTAACAGCGGACGTCTAAATACGCGAAATCCGTAAAGAAAAGAATAAAAAATAAGGAACCCAAATGAACGCAATGAAACGAGCGAAAGTCGAAGTGATACTCTGGAGAATTTT